CCGGCGCAGGGGGACTGGGGGGGGGGGGGGGGGTGCATAGCCAGTCTCTGCCATTTGCTGCATCTGTGCGTGGTTATCTGTGGGTGGCCACGTCTGTGCTTTCGGTGAGGACAATCCAGCAGAGTAAGTGCTCACAAATACCACGTACACGTCCTAAATGAGGAAACGGGGTCAAGAGGCCAAGTGGGAAGTGTCCTGTCACTTCTGGAGCTTAGAGCCCGGTGGTGGTGACTGGGAGGACAGGGTAGGACACCCAGTGACCGTGCAATGATGAACGGTAATGATTAAGTTACAACCGTAACAAGGGCTCACTTCTGAAGAGCAGCTGACCGGGCTGCTAGTGAAGACCCGAAGCTCGTCCCCACGGCTCACAGGTACAGAGTGCCGCTCTGCCGGCCACTGACGGCCGTGCTCAAACGCTCAGCCACCCTCCCAGCACTGCGAGACTGGCCGTTATCTCCGGGAGGGCCGACCTCTCTGAGGAAAGGGAAGATGCATAAACTGCTCAAATGATTGGGCTATTAGGCAGCAGGGTCACAGTTCAAACCTGGCCCCAAGCAGTCTGATTCAAGTTTGTGCTTTAGACCTCACGCCGTGCTCTCTCCCCTAAGTTAACTAAGCAAGTGGGGGCAAGTCAGGTGGTCTCACCCAAGCAGTGGGAGCAGCAGGCAGAGGGAGCCTGGTGTGTTTGAGCAGCAGAACAGGCTGAGGATGTGTTTATCTGAACAGCAGCAGACCACCTCTGCAGTTCTGGGCAGGAAATGGCGTGATCAAAGTGGCATCTTTGGGGACCAGCAGCTAGCACAGTGGTTAAGGCACTGGATCCCACGTGGCCCACTGAGCAGTTTCATCTCGGACCTAGTGGCCCGAAAAATCACACTGGGCACATGGGTGTGCCTGTCTAAGATCCTGAGGAGAAGGGATTGCAGCATGGCCATTCCCCTGGAAGGGTGATTTCTCACTCTCTCTGTGTCTGTTTCTCTGGCAAGTACACACTCCCTGTAGCGAAACTCAACAACAAAACAAAAGAAGTGGCATCTTTGAAGGGTCACCCCACTGCTGCATGGAGGATGGGTTAGACAGGGCAGAGTGCTGGCAGTCGTGAAAGGAGAGAAGTGAGCAGGTCTGGGGTAGATCTGTCATGAGAAAGAGCCCGTGTATCCCTAATGGGGTCCTGTGTCCTGAACCCCTTCCCTCAGCCCTCAGCTTGTCAGGATCTGATCTCGGGTGGACGTGCACCCGGCCCGTCGTCCAGTCAGCCAGCAACCAGACCTGCGGTGGGCTGTGACTTCTAGCTCTGACCAAGTCTGGAAGCAGGATTTTGGTGAGGGGTGGATATAACGGTGAGGAAGAAAGAGCTGAGGGAGACTTCCAGGCTCTGATGCAAGCAACTGAGCAGCTGGTGGTACTTCCGGTGCAGTGAGTCCAGGGCAGGGCCTGGCAGTTTGGGAGAGAGGCTTGGGCTCCAGTGAGGTGCCCAAGAGCTCTCACGTGGTCGATATCCAAGTCCAGGGCCCTGGGGAGAGGGGTGAGGGCTGGAGGTCAAGGTCGGGAGTCGGCAGATGGCACGAGCTGGACCCACTAGCAAGGGTAAGTGTGCAGAGAGAGAATGGGGAAGGGCCCACGGCACTGCCTGCTCCTGGCAAGGCCAGCGTGAACCTGACATGGGAGCACAAGCGAGAGGCTGGGTGAGCTGTCACCGTGATTCCAGGTTCTGTGCTTGGTGCCGGGGACTTCGCCCTGAACGGTCTGGCTTGCACCTCCAGTGCCGTCCCTGAGATGAGCCAGCACTGACCTCTTCTCTCACCCTCCACACAGGGCCACCACCACCACTGAAGACCCGCTCTGTGCTGCGGGGTGACGACGTCCTCCTGCCCTGTGACCAGCCATCCAACCTGGCCCGGGCCTTGTGGCTACTCAATGGGAGCATGGGCCTGAGTGACGGGCAGGATGGCTACCGCGTGGGCGTGGATGGGCTGCTGGTGACAGACACACAGCCTGAGCACAGCGGCAACTATGGCTGCTATGCCGAGGAGAACGGCCTCCGCATCCTGCTGGCCGCCTACAGCCTCACGGTCCGGCCAGCCACTCCCGCCCCGGCTCCGCCGGGCCCCGCCGCGCCTGGG